CCCTCCAGAATTCTAAAGGCAACTTTCTCGTCTTTATTTGCCATCAGAAGAGCACAGCTGGCTAGAGTCTCTTCACAGAGATTCTCTGTTGAGTGACCATTCAGGAGGCTGAAGTGCACAACTAACGACACCCCGATTATCTAGTTGGAACTGGCAGTTGGGATGGCACCAAGGCCCAACACTTACTATTTCAGTGCCTTGTCTTTCCTCTAAGATTGGCTACCATCAAGCTCAGTGCATTTTTGTATGTCCCCGTCCACCACAGTCAGGAAGTAAACCCGCAGTCTCCTGCTGAGTCTTCGTCTTGCCCCAGCTGGGAGGCATTACATGATTTTTACGTCCAGCTGACGTATCCTACCCAAGAACAAAGGCAGAAAGTGGCCCATGCCGCCATGTGGAGAGTCTAGAAGAAGACATAATGGGAACTCCCAATGCAAACAACCGTGGGAAGGGCTCTTCCTCCTCCTGGGAAGGATCTCATTCAGACTGTGTCTTAGCTCTGAGGGTGTGCATAGGACAGCAACACCTCAGCGTTTTCCTGCATAACAGGCACAAGTGCAGTTTGCGTCCTCCCTCCTGTAGGCGAATGCAACAGACACTTGAGCAACAGACACTTGAGAAAGAGCTCTGAGAGATAACAGGGTGGCTGAGTTCTGGGGAAAGTCATTCTTGGGAACAGAAATCAAGCCAGGTGTGGAATGAATTGAGGGTTCAATTTATTCCTCATTGAGGCCCTTTTGAGAAACAGCCTCAAGTCTCAGGGGGCCTCTGACCTTTCAGTGGTGACTATGGATCTCTGATGCTGGGCTAAGCCACTGCTCGGGACGCTGAGCAGCAGCGGTGGTGGCATGAACCTGACTCAGAATTAAAGTGGAGGCAGGCGGAAAGTGAGGGCCAGGTGCAAAGTTAACAGATTAGTAATTAGTGCACAAATAACCGTAGTTAAAGCACACCATCACCATCAGCCTCTCCTCTGAGCCTGCCTGGCTGGCAGTTCCAGTAAGTGGGCAGGATCTGAGCTTGGCTGGCTGGGAGCCCCCTCCCCGGCCACTATGACTGACCATTCTGCTTCTTACCCCTGAGAGACCTATGAGTCCTTATTACACTTTTCTCCCCCCTCCTCTTCTGTTGAGCTTTGTTGGCTTGGTGATAGTTTTGGTTTTTTGTTACTGTTCTTATAAAGCCCATACGACTTACCTCGTAACCTCCTCCCAACAACCCTGTGAAGTAGATGTCACTATCCTCCTATTGTATGGATGAGCAAACTGAGGCCAAGCAAGATTTAGTTACTATCCCAGTGTCCCAGATCCAGCAAGGAACAGACCCAGGCAGTCTGGATCCACATCCTATATTGCAGGTGGATCATGAGGAATACCCAAAAACTTTGCTCCAAAAGTCCAAATATAGGAAAAAATATTACTTGAGAACCTACAAAATGCCAAGCATTGTTTCAGACACTGGAGGCCTGAACAAGATAGATGAGGTCACTCGTCTAGGGAGCTGACACTCCAGTGTGAGAAAAGTAATGGAGAAATGGAGATCATTTCAAGCTGGACGTGGTGGCATCCCAGCATTCAGGAGGCTGAGGCAGGAGGATCATACAGTTCAGACTGTACAGCAAATTCCCGGTCACCCTGAACTACATAATGAACTAAAAATCAGGTTATTTCAACTGTGATATGGTGAGGACAATGAAACAAGACAGGGTGAGGGAATGAGGGAATGTCAGAGAGACTAATCAAGAAAGAGCTCTCCAAGGACACGCCAGGCGAGTAAAGCCCTAAAGGGTGAGCAGAGACCAGCTACTAGGGAACACCTAAAGGGTGAGCTGACCAGTAAGAAGGAATGGCACGTGAAATCAGCACAATGTGAGGAGCATGAGCTCCCGGGGACAAGGAGGAATCCAGTAGGGTGAGTGGCCGGTGTCTGCAACCTCAGCAGACACACACACCCCGTCATACCTCCTCACAGATGGCTGTGCCCCCTTCCCAGTGACTGACCTCTGTATCTCATGTCTCAGCTTGCCTTTTGGACATGGATGAATATGTTGAGATTCCCACTGCCCTCCCGTCAGTAATCCTTACGGTAAAGCCAACCCAACCCTTGATGCTAACTCCCCACTTCCTCTTATCCCTTAAGGAGAAGGCTCTGGAGCTGGGCTTGAATGTTGGCTTGGCCACTCATGAACTCGGGGCCCAATTTCCCCACCCATGTAATAAGACATAAATTCGTTCTGTTGGGAGTGGAATGGGCTGACAATCCACTGCGCACCTTGCAAGCACTCAGCAAGGTCACTGTAGCTGTTGTGTTGATTAACACCTAGGTGTTGGCCTAGCATGCACACCCACAAGGGGATCAACAGGGATTTGCCTCTGCAACTCCACCTCTTCCTTTCACGATTCATCATTTACATCTTTCATCAGGCAGAATAGCAAGCTCACAATGATAATCCAAATGTGCATTTTCCTAATAACAAAAATAACCTTCCCTATCGCGCACCTGTATATATTATGTATCATATCTATGCTAATTGCTTACAGGGAACTTCACTTAACTCTCAGAACATCTTATGGGCTGGGTATTATTTATTGTCCCCATTTACAAAAAAGAGAAGAGTTCCAAGGATTACGTGGATAGTGGCAGAGGTGGCAAGTCTTCTGTCACCAGAAACTGCCCCCTTAAGTATGACATTCAGTCCTCAATGCAGAAAAAAAAATTTTAATTTTTTGAGACAAGGTCTTGCTATGTAGTCTAGGCTAGTCTCAAACTCATGGCAATCCTCCTGCCTCAGCCTCCTGAGTGTTGGGAATACAGGCATTAATCACCATGCCCAACTAGAAAATTTTGTTGAAGTCAAGCATAGTAGCAAATGCCTAAAATCACAGCACTCCAGGAGACTTAGGGAGGAGCATAGAGAGATCAGTACAGCCTGGCCAACTTTATGAGGCCCTGACTCAAAGCAAAAAATTTTAAAAGGTGATGGGGATGTAGCTCAGGAAAACACTGTAAGTTCATATCCCAATATCACACACACACACACACACACACACACACACACACACACATAATTAAACACTTGCTATATTATAGACTATTTTAGGAGCACAGGGGAAAAAATATGAAATTATAGCTAATAATACCAGATTGAAGTGTGTCTTACCATAGATTATGTCAGTTCAGAACCTTAAGAGTATTTGCCACAAAACCAAGTTAGGTAAGACCATCCTGGATGAGGGTGGCTCTTGAGTCCATGGACTGGTCTGTTTCTTAGAAGAAGCATGTTTAGATGCCAGAAAGCACACAAAGACACCAGGCAGAACCATGTATTGACCAAGGCAGAGACTGGAGTCTGTTAGCCATGGAATGCTAAGAGGCACCAGAAGCCAGAAGAGAGGCATGACACAGAGCTCCCCTCAGAACATCCAGAAAGAAGCAACCTGCTGACCACTTTGATGTTGGACTTGTGAACTCCTGAACTATACAGGGACACCTTAACAATGTTTTAAGCCAGCCACTTTGCAGCAATTTGTTCCCACAGCCCTGAGAAAATAATACCCTGATAAAAAGAAAACCACAGAAATGATACTTTCTCAAGTCACACCTCGTCCTATTTGGTAATAAGAGTTCGCATCTGAAAATCACAGTTCCTCCTCGGCCATGAGTAGGCAGTGGCAGAAGCCAGCGATGAATCAATCCATGGCCTTACAGGAAGCCAGCTTTCCTGTCAACAAAGCAGAGAATGAAAACATGTGGTCCTCTGGCCGGAGGGCTGGCCACCTGGCCACTGTCACAGGTTCAGAGGAGAGAACATGATCATAAAGGGGAGAAAAAAATTGGAGAACCCAGCAAACTGGGTTGCTTTGACACCCTGAGACCTTTGCCTCCTGCTCAGAATGAATGTGTTGGTAGGGCAGCTTAAGAAAAAGGTCTCTAGGGGTGGGGGATATAGCTCAATGGCTTTAAGTGCCTGCCTGGCAAGAGCAAGGTTCTGAGTTCAGATCCTAGTACCAAAAAAAGAAAAAGGTCTAGGGCTCCTAAGAGGCAGCTTAAAAGATAGGCCTGCTGTCTGTCTCCCTACAAACCTGCTGCACACTGAAAGCAGAAGTGTGTAGGTATCTGGCAACTTAGTTCCTTTTGGGGTTCTTGTAAATGTGCTATCTGGATTGTCTCCACATTAGAAAAAAAATTCCTACTTGCAAAATCTGAAATAACCTTTCAGGACAGTTAGGCTCCTAAAGCCTTCTTTCCCTCCAGTACTAGGGACCGAACGTAGGGCCTTAGCACTGAGCTACATTTCCAGCCCTTTCTAAATTTAGCTGCTTTTGAAGCAGGCTCTCACTGAGTACCTGAAGTTCCCAGGCTGGGCATGAATTTCATTCCTCCTGTCTCAGCCTTCCTGAGTGCTGGGATTACAGGATTGTCCCACCATGCCCACCTCTGCTGTAACTGTTTTTTGGTACCGAGGATTGAACTCACAACATTCTGCTTGCCAGGCAGGTGCTCATGCCACTGAGCTAAATCCCTGGCCCTCCACTGTGATTCTTACTCTACTTTTAAATGTCTTCTCTGCCAGGCAAAGTTGAGGGCAAGAATTTTTTGTCTTGTTCTGTTTGTACTCTCACTTCCTAATACACAGATACACACCATGTCATCAGATGGATGGACAGACGGACGGACGGATGGACAGATGGATGAATGGACGGATGGATGGATGGGTGAATGAGTAGGTGTGTGGATGGATGGATAGATGGGTAGGTGGGTAGGTTGGTAGATGAGTGGAGTGAAAAGATGAATGGTAAGTGGGTGAGTGGGTGGACAGATGAATGGATAAGTATTTCTCATGATGTTGCTCTGGCTTCAAACCAAATGAATTAATACATTAATGAAATCAACACAGACCCATTCATTGTTCCACAGGTGTTTTCCAGTGCCTCCTCCTACCATAAGAACTGGGGTGAGAATACAAAGGATGCCAGCTTGACATCACTCTCAAGACTCACCTCATTCCTTCCGAAGCCATCTTATCAAGGTGGACAGTGTCCTTGGTTTCTGCCCAGTTTGCTCCTAAATCACCCCACCCCATGTCATCAGCCAAAATGATCACAAAATTTGGCCTCTGGCCTGCTGCCTTTTCACTGATGGAGAAATCCACAAGAGGATAAAGAAATCCGGAGAAACTCACTCCCACCAACAAAACCTTCAGAAAAAGCCAGCCCATGGTTGGAAGGGGAAGACTGTCTGGAGGAATGGTGGGCCACCACTAGAGGCTTCTCTCGGCCTGTCTCTGTTCGCTTTCAGTGCAGGAAGTCCAGGGGGGAGCTGGAGAGAAGGTTGCAAGAACACACTGGTGATGACGGTGATGATGGCTACAGGTGTGTGAAGACTACAGACATGAGGCCTCCATTTGGAAATCTAATTCAAGAGTCAAGAAACTGGCAACCCTAACTTGGCCTCCCCCTGCTTAGGAGCTGTTTCCCCACTGTGGCTTAACAAGATGACCAGCTGGGTTTAACAGTCAGGCGTCAGTATCAATGACCACTTTCTGGCCACTCCGCAAGTGACCCCTCTGTATTTAGGGCTGTCCAGGCCACATCACAGGCATTGCATCTGTCTGGGACTCGATCTGGTGACTGCAGGATAAATTCTCGCATCTGCAGAACACCTGGATGTTCTAGAAGCCGCAGTCAGCCCCAAATGAGTTTCTGAGTTCCAGATGGTTGAGGTTTCTGAAAGGTTTCCTGAAAGAACAAAAATTAACAAGAAAACAGAGTTAAAACTACCATTGCAGCTGTGTTTTACCCAGTAACTTAGGAAATAATCACTTTCCCATGCCAACAGATGTTTTCTTTCTTATTCGAATATTTAACTGATACATGTTTCTTTCACCTGAAAAATAGTGGTGACAATATTTGCAATGGATCTATAGTTACCAGGTTGGAAGGCACATTGGAGATGACCTCTCTGAACTCTCACACGGTAAAAATGAGAATACTGAGGTCCAGTATTGCAGTAGGACAGTGACCAGCCCCCAACTCAGCTAAATCCCAGTATTATCCTGATCCTACCTGATTTCTGATTCACAAGAAATTCTGAAATTAACAGAAATCTTATCAAAATTCCTGAGAATTATTTTTTAAAAAGGGTGAGATCCATATTACAATTCTTTGTAACAGTCATGCTATAGCCTAATATCTTCCTATAAAATTCTTGACAGAATTTGGGGCAGAAAGAAACTGTGAAAAGAAAATTAACAAAGGAATTAAGGTGGAGGATGTGTGGCTATGTGCTGTAAAATGCTTTCAATTTTGCTGCGTGTTTGTGACTTTCATGGTTAAATGTTAGAAAAAAATTGCATGGGAGCCAGGCATGGTGGCACACACCTGTAATCTCAGGACTCCAGGAGGCTTAAGCAGGAGGATCACAAATTCAACCCCAGCCTAGGCAACTCAACAAGATCTTATCTGAGAAATGAAACATAAAATAAAGGACTGGGACCGAGGTTCAGAGTCAAGGCCCTGAGTTCAATTCCTAGCCCCCCGAACCCCACCAAAAAAATTAATGGAGATCGTATATAACGGCATACACTATAGCCTCAGCTATTAGGGAGGTTGGGGAAGGAGGGTTACAAAGTCAAGGTCAGCTTGAGAAACATAGCAAGACTGTGGTTCATAATAAAATAAAAAGGGTCTGGATGTATAGCACAGTGCTCCCTGGGTTCAACCTTTAGTATTATGAAAAAAGAAGAAAACTAGTGGAAATGTGTCCCTGTCACATCCTATCATGCAATTTTGAAAAAGTAAATGTAGCACTGTGGACATAGTTCACTGGTACAGGACACTTGCTTAGCATATGTGAGGCTCTGGGTTTGATTCCCAACACTACAGAAAAACAAAGCCAAATCTAAAGGCACGTCAACCAGTGCTTCTCACACATGGATATACACATGAATTAGCTGGATATTTTGTGTTTACTAAAATGCAGATTTGCGGATAAGGCTGGTTGGGATCTGTATTTCTAACCAGCTCCCAGAAGAGGTACACCCCACTGGTCCTCTGATAACTCATGGAGTAGCACAAAGTTCTGGAAAACAAAAACATCATGACTCTGATTCTAGAGGGCAAAGGAAACTGCTTGGCCTAACTGGAGATGACACAGCTTTAGTGGACAAACGTAGAGGCAACATATCAGACTGACTTTTGAAAGAGAGGAATTGAAGGTTAGACTTTCAGTTTAGCTTTCAAATAGATCTAAGAATAAAATCAGTCACCCCTAGTTCACTTAAAAACCTTAATTTGAGACAGTGCTGAAATTCTGGACAAACAAAAACCTACCCCATGAGAGACATCAAAAAGAAACCATTTGTAATGCATAAAGATGCTACTGGGCCTGGAGTTATGTCACATGCTAATCCAGCTGTGTAACCCTAACAGCTAATCCAGTGAACAACCCAAGTGGATGGAAGTGGCTTGTGTGTGTAGATTCTGAAAAACCTAAATAAAATCAAAAGGATGAGCAATTTCTTAATCAAAATAAAAGGAAGTCCAAGTAAATAGTTATGGTCATCTGGAAGCCAATGAATCAATTGTTCAGAAATGCAAATTCTTCCACTTTCCCAAGGAGAGTTATTTCAAACTCAATTAGATTCAGCTTGTATTTGTTGATCTTGAGGCCCTAAAGACTTCTCGCTTTCTAGAAGACTCTTACACAAGGAGGGTGCTTAACCAACACTTGTTCACCTGCTGCTTAATTCCCAGCCTCATTCTACTGGCTTCTGACCATGAGCAACAGTCCCAGGAGGCTTTTCTTCCTAAAGCTGCTTAACTTAGAACACCACTGTGGCCTCAATAATCCATTTCGGAATGACTCCATGTACAAGAATCCGGGGCAGGGGGTGGAATTCATATAAGAACGAAGGTAAAACTAAGGTGGGAACATAACTAGATTATTTTTCTTTGGTGTTCCAAGAGAAAACATTCCTTTGAGGATTTACAAAAAAAGAATTATTAACCCCATATTTAAAATGTTTGCAGAAACTGAATAAACCAGTGTACCATTTTGTTACCCTTCACACCAAAGCCTCCTTGAAGACATTTAATCCTCTTTATTTATTATTTGTTTATTTATTTAACTGAAAGAAAGTGGTAAACCAGATATTTAGTGGATAGACTTCAACCCGTGACCTTCCTTTAAGATCTAAGCTTTGAGTTTGAGCTTGATTACCCTGAAGAAACTCTACCACTGTCCCCTCTGGGATCCTATCAGATAAACTTTTCCAACTCTTATGAATCACTTTCAGAACACAGGCAGAGGCAAGGAGCTGTAATTCAAGGCTAGGGAAGAAAAGGAGAAAGCCTGGCAAGGTAAGCATGTACTTCTCCTTCTACTTGGGTAGAAGGCACTTAATCAACACATTCCATGTGCATGCTGGGCTGTTCCACCAGAATGCAGCTGACTATAACAAACCCTTGCTGAGCCCAAGTATCACCAGGTCCCCATATCTCCATCCTTCCCAGGCAGGTGTATGACGAACTTCAGTTGTCAATCAGCTTTATCAGTGATTACTGCTCTTCCCTCTGATCCCCATTCTACCATTTTTTGTGGTACTTGGGATTGAACTGAGGGCTCCTGCATGCGAGGCAGGCACTCTACCACGAAGCTACCTCTCCATCCTTGGGCCCTTATTTTAAAGTAAGTTTGCTCAGGTTGCTAAAGCTTGACCTCCCTCAGTTTCCAGGCTTGTTTACTTCACAGACCGAAAAGCCAAAAGGAATGGGATAAGGCAAGCTGAAGACCCACTGAGCAGTGTCTGAGGAACCCGGAGCTGGAAAGCCGCGGGCTTCCTGAGTTCCTCACTCCATCACCTGACCCTGGCTCCCCACTGGCCTCCCTGCGGCCAAGCATCCTCCTTGAGAACCCTGAAAACAGCTGAAACAACAAGGAGGTTGGGCAGACCATTCTGGCCGAGGGCTCTGTTGGTTTTCCAGAGACAAAAGCTTCTGATGAGCTGAGGCCAAAAGGGACAAAGGAGCAGGGGGAGGGAGGCTCTGGTTGCAGAGTCCTGTTGTCCTACCTGCCAAATCAGAGTGCGGTCTGTGTGCTGGCAAGGGACCTGGAGTCACGCGGCAGCGCCAGGAGGGGCCTTGGGCACCAGCAGCCCACGTGTGGTCTGAAATGATTCCCCTGTGCATTTGGTCAAAGGTCCACCAAACTCGTGGGGACAGGCGCTAATTCAGGCACTACACAGACAGATTGAAACAGACAAAAATCCTTGCCCTCGTGCTATCATCTAATTAATTAATTTGGCAGCGGAAAGGTGGAGAAATGAAATAAATGTGAGTTCCGTAGTGGGGAAAAGAATCAAAACAGGAGGGGGCTCAAGAGTGTGAGGTAGACAGGAGCAAAGTTACAAGACAGGGATCAGGGACCGGTGGTGCTTGTCTATGGATCTGTAGAAGGGGTCAGCAGTAAGCCATGTGGGGAAGTGTGACAGGGAGAGGAACCAGTAAGCCGGAGACCTAGTCCAGGTGAACAGCAGCAAGAAAGCCACTGGAGAAGCCTGGAGGGCGAGGAGCAAGATCGGGAGCAAGAGAGCCCACGGAAGCTTTCACTGAGGGAGAGGGGAGCTCACGGGATGCCCAAGGGCAGCTGATCGGACTTCACGGCAGCAGAAACCCTCTGCTGCTCCTTGGAGAACACACCCATGCCCGCTGGGGCAGCAGGCCAGGAAAAAAGCTGCAGAGTCAGTCATCCCTTGCATCAGCCTAGGTGCGTCCAGGGGAGACACCGTGCTAGGTGAGGTAAGAGGAACGCCCAGAGTATCCAGCTTAAGGAGCTGGCACTCCCTCCTGCTCAGATGCCAGCCCTGCTCCTGATCCAGGTCATGAGGAGCTCCATCAACTTTGCTTTCCCCTAGTCCAGGCCCAGGTATGGCGTGAAACTCAGGATTACTTGAGGTCTGCATGTATTAAACATCTTTGTGACCCCTTCTGTTACCCAAATGTCACTATGGGCTGGCTCAAAACAAAGACACTGTTTTCTTAGGGGAAGGGGCAGATTTAGCTCCACCATAAATGCAAAGGACATCTTTGGTAAAAGTCCTGCACCCAGGCCAGAAGTGCAATTCCACTTTGATCACTGAGGTGCTTTATTTACTCGTGGAGCTCAAAGCAGACCCTGTTGCTGGGAATACTTCTTCTGGGAACCCAAGGATGCCAGGAAACTCGTCCACGGGAGGCATAGGATGTCCTGTCTAGTTTTAGGCTGTAACTATCTGTTGAGATGTCACACAAGGAAGCCACATGGCAGAAACCAATGGGGAGAGTTAAGATTGGCCCCGTGCCCTACATCTAAAAACCCAGTTGCCCTGCAGAAATTATATGCATGTCCTAGAGAATAGATCAGAGAAACCTAGCAGATTCACCTCTGAAACCAGTTCTTCTGTAAAACTGTTCCACCTGCGGAGGAAAATCTGGAAGGGCTCAAGGTCAACTACCTGAAATCTAGTTCCAGGAGTTTGTTTGCTAGTCTCTGAGGATGTTTTGCAAAACCACATTTGCTATTATTTATTAAACATTGTGTGATGGATACTGTTGAACATACCAAAGTTGAGATATATTCCGTGGCACAGATAGAGATTGTTGCCTCAATCCTAGGGCTCAGCTGAGGCGTCAGGAGTGAGTACAGCCCAGCCACCCTACCCCACATTTGGATCCACATTTGGATTCACACATGGCCAGGC